TATCAGCAAGTAACTTAGGTGATGCCTACATTTCAAATGAAGATGGTAGCACTAGGGATTAGTAAGGAAGGGTTGAATTTCACAGATTAAAAAGAAGGAACAGGAGTTAGAAGGTAGATATGAAGGGAGAAGAAAGAGATGAAAGTCAAGATAATGGGCCTGAGGGAGAGAGAAATGCAAGATAGTGGAGTTATAAATTGACACACAGAACGGGAGTGAAAAGTGAAGAGTTAAGGAAGAATTTTTGGAGGCTATATTTCAGATGGCAGTAAATCCAGGAATTGTTGATAAAGTAGTTAAGTGAGAAACCCCAGTCTTGCACACATACACGCCTATAGAAAATGCCCTATGAAAAAACCTTCAGTGTTTTCCAATTAATGTATATGAAGGCTGACCTAATTCTTAGTTGGCTGAAGGTACTGGTATACTTCATTGCAGACTAGTTGAAGCCCTTGACATTTTCTGAACATCCATAAGAATCATTAACTATTATATCTAGTAAAAGGAGCTTTTGTTTTTTCATGGGAGTTTCCCATGCACAAGATGGAAGCCTCCTGTTACCTCTGCTGTTTCATGCAAGTAGTCCTATTTGCTCAGAAGTAGAGCAAGGCATAAGAAGAGCGCAATTTAGCCATTCAATTAGTTTCTCCTTGTTTCTGTTTATCCCTTACAAATGTAAATATCCTGTTAATAATAAAATGGGGAATGTGAGTGTTCTAAAATTCTGGCTGTGAATTATTAATAGCTAATTAATAGTTCTTAATTATTAACTAATTAAAAACCTGAATTATTAACTAATTTTTAAAAACTGTAAAGTCCTATTAGGACTATATTTATGTATTCACGCTACAATCAGTCTTTGGCCATGTTCATTGTAAAAATGAATTTATTTGTAAAACGAATAAATGACAGGCCAGTTCAAGATGTTGAAACTCCACAAATATCTCAGTGCACTGTTAATGATTCCAATCAACGTTACAGAAGTTCACCGAGCAACCAGTCATCCTCCAGTGACCCAGGACCAAGCGGGAGTAGCCAGTGGAGGCAGCAAGTGGGATATGACGGGTACTGGTGATTTTCTATCTTGTTGCAGCTCCTGTTGATAATACTTTTATGACAGAAGAAGTATAAAAGATAAATGTCCAATAGCCCCATTTGCTGTGTGGACATAGTCTATTAGTGGAGGGCCAGGGCCATATTCTGTTCTCAGAAACTTCACCATACCATATTTGCTTGCTTACCACATGTACCTTTCCCCAAACAATTAGCCTTTCAAAATTGAGATATGTGTATTAAACAGAGAAACTAATTTTCTGCCCAGAATAGCAGCATCGGCCTCCCTATTCAAGCAGTGCTGCTGGAGTTGATTAACTTCATGGTTCATTATTATCCTTTTGATTCCTGCTAATTGCTCTTAGTTCAACAGGTGTTAATGACCCACTGTCCTTTTAATATTCTTGATGTCCTACTAATCAAACTATCCATGCTTTTTCAGTTTGGCTACAGAATTTGCAATTTAGCTTCTCCTGGTCTCTTTCCTCCTATTTTAGTTCTTTCCAAAATCCTAGATCCATGCATGGAGTCCAGTTTTCAGCAGCAGCTGCAGTTTCAGCAATAATGCTAAGAGCAGCTGACAGTTCATCTTTGAAAGGGTTAAAACTGTAGCCAGAAAGAGAGGGTGAATGAGCTGAAGTTTAGGCTCTGTCCTTCCTGTATGCATCCATAACTCTAGAAAAAAATCTCTTCATTCTGCCTTCCCAAAAATATGGTGCGTCTTATTGGTGGTATGTAGTATGTGAAAAAATACAGTATATCTATTGTGTTACTGCAGACCATACTAGTTAATTTGTTACGGCTCAATGGTTACTTCACAATCCATTCTAAATAAAGCTTGCTGCTTAGCTTCACTGCCCTGGGAACAGTATGGGAACCAAACTGTGACTCCTGTTGTAATCTGGTTCCTGCTTCTCCTTTGCTTTGGTGGAGGAATAACTGGTGTCATCTCTTTGCTATTGTAAATCAGTTCTCCTTGTTCTCCTCCTGCATCCACTCTGGATCCACTTGCCTATGGAGGGGAATAGCACATCAGCAGACTTGATCTCTTCCCCCGTGTAGGTGCTTTCAAGATGGATTGCCCTTTCACATATATATAATGGAGCTCATTACATCCCCTGCTACTTCCCTGCCCAGCAGAATTTACAATTTAGTTATGGATGGAAAAGAACCCTTCCCTGAAATATTGTGCATGTTGAGTTCCACCAGAAGGTTAAGAAATGAAGATTTGCCAGATATTTTCTGTATGAAATGTGTTTTTCATTACTGAAAATGTAGCTGTTGAGTTTCATGAATCTAGTGTTTGGTAACACTCGCTGATAAATACAGAGATACGCAAATACCAAAGCTACTTAATTTAAGAACACTTCAAATATGCCACTTCTAGTTGATGAAGCTATTTCATGATGAAACCTGAGCATTGAAAACATCATGTTGCCGCCTTATCTGTCAGCAGTATATTGCCTTGACATATTTGATTGTGTGAAATGTACCATGTAAGATATTAGGGCTGTGCAAAGCTTCAGTTCCTGATTCAATTCGGCTCGATTCAGTGACCCTCTGAATCAATTCAGAGAGATTTGGAAAGATTCGTCGATTTGGATCTAGACACAGCTTCTAAATGTTTTTTTCTACATACCCCAAGGTAGCAGGTGGCTCATGAATGCTATGATGGTGGGGCAGATGGAGTGTCCCACAGGAGCGCAGGAGGCTCCCCAGCACACTCAGCAGCAGACCCGAAAGTAAACCAAAAGCATTTCTGGTCCACTTACGGGTCCACCGGGGAGTGTGTGGGTGGCCCCCCCCCCCCATTTCCTCTCATCTCAGCGACTGGTGCCTCCTGGTTCTGGGGGGGCACCCAGGGTTCCCCCACAGCCGATTGCTGAGCTGGGGGGACAGGAGGGGCCCCTCCAGCATGCTCGGCAGCGGACCCAGAAGTGAACCGGAAGTGCTTTCAGTCTACTTCCAGGTTCACCATTGTGCATGTGGGGGGCCCTTCTGCAGTCCTGTGGGATGCTCCATCCACCCCAGCATCACAGCATTCATGAGCCGTGCCTGGTACCTCAAGGTATGTAGAAAAAATATTTAAAGCTGTGTCTACGGCCGAATCACTGATTCTCTGAATCGGCATCAAATCTTCAGATTTGAATTCGGCCAAATTGAATCGGAGACAGTGATCCGAATCAATGAATTGAATCACTGTTCCCAATTTGGGCCAAATCCGAATCAAATACGGCCCATTTCACACACTCCCATCAGATATGCATGCAATTTTGGAGTCTGCTTGGGGAATTGTAGACTATTCATTGAAATCTCCAATAACTGGATAGATGTTAAAATATTTTTTAAATTATAACAAATTTCAGTGGGAGAAAAGCACATGAAAACTTGTCTAGTCATTTCAGATTAGTAATTACTGTTAGCAGCATGCTGTTTGAATACATTTCTTTGGAAGAGAATTTTAATTTCTGCAGTTTTAGGAGTAGAACCTAGAAATGTAGAGTTTGAGCGGGTGGAAGAGGATTTCAAGTAGCAGATATAACACTGAACTAAATGAAGCATGTGTTTTAATTCTGAGGGAAATTGGCAAAGGTATGAAGCAATAGATACAAAATGTGTATACATGTTTCATGAAAAGAATCTTATTTGCTCATGAAATCCAAATATTTTTGCATACAGATATAGGAATTAGTCCATGCAGTAGTTAATCATGCATTTTCCTGATTTATCAATTGCATGGCTTTGAATATTTGGCACCAAAACAATACATATTTTTGAATTGTGCTTTTAGTTATGTTTACAATTAATTCTTGACAGTACAATGGCAAGAAGACTAGGCATAAATGTTTTCACCTGGTATTTGGGAACATATTTGCTTGTTTGGTAATGAAGAATGCTTACGGTAATGGCCTGCCAAAATTTTGCCTTGGAGAATAAAGAGTAAATAATACTGTTTCTCGTGGGATAGTCAGTTTTCTGATTAAAGGAACAGTTTGATTCTCCTTATGTTACAAGGTGCCAGTCCCCTTTACTGCATGAACACCAAGGTTCGGGTCCACTGGAATGCGAAGGAACTCGAGAACGAGAGGAAGCTTTGGAAGGAACCAGACATACTGGTAATAATGAATATAATGAATTTTAAAAAAAACTCCAAACTTCCTAGAATTTGCATATAAAGTTAACTACAACATCTGTTTATATTTCTATTTTCCATTTTTATACAGTGTCTTTCATCTGAAGGGACCCTAAAAGCATTTTACATAACATATGAATGCAGATCCCATTTAAATGCAGGCATCCCTGAATTGGAGAGTAGATAGTGAAATTTCCACTGAAAGATAATTTTGTCAATGCACGCATGTTTAAAAAAAACTTCAGTAGACTATTTAAAGTACAGTTAAAACAAACACCATTTGATTCTGAGTACCTTATTCAAAACCCAGAATAAACTGTGTAGAATTCCATTTAATAATGCTGAAAGAGTCAAAGACTTAAGAAACCCTGCAACATTATGAGCCTATAATTCCAAATAGTTGATTGGCTTCAAACCTAATGCTTAAAGAATTGCATTATGTGCTTTTCTTTCCTTTGTGCACAGTATATTCAACTTTTCACCAGAAATTAAAACATAATTTTTTGTGGCAGAAACCAAGTGGCATGCACCATCAACTAAAGTCTTGAGTTCCTACAAAGATCGAGCTTTACAAAAAGAAGGTACAGGAAAAGACTCTCCAAGCAAACTTTCACACGTAAGTCTCTCCTTCATGCCAATCTGCCTATGATAAAAATGTGGTCCTGAAAAAACAACTGTAGGCACCTTAAATAATTAATATACCTTCTGTTCATTTACAAATACAGTAGTGGTGCTCAATATTCTGGCCCCATGGGTCAGATGGATGACATAGGGCCAGTCTGTAGTCCAGATCCTGCAGGTACGGTTGGCACACAGCTTAGTACAATCCTGTGCACCAGCCCACCCCTGCAAGCCAGATCCAGCTGTGCACTGACCCCCACATGCTGGTGCATTGTAGCCCATGGGGCCTTGTTATCCAGCCCAAAGGGCTCCCCACAGGCCTGGAAATTTGGCAGTGGGGGAGTGGTGCTGGCATTAAGTGCTCCAACCCTGGAAGCCACACCAATTTGCTGCCTCTGCTCCCCTAATGTGAAATTTACAGACTTGTGGGTTGGAAGTTGGGCTCCACCAAAATGTAACATGCATTTTCAGAAGTGAATTTGCGTAAGAATTTGATGGACTTGGAACCTTCACGCTGTGCCTTCAGAGTAAGCACATTGGGGCACAGCACTGAAGAGAGGATCTCTTAGTTCAAGTAAATGTCTGTTTAGAGCTTCATTTACATTGGCCTGCTTAGTCTTAGGAGCATGTCCCATAGTAGACAAATTAAATTCATGCATACCATTTCTTGCCATGTGTGGGTTTCTCATTTACTACAATTATCAGTAATTGTTTTCTTATTATTTAGGCAAAAGTTCCACCTCCTGAAGAATGTATCTAGTTAAATGTTTCTGTTATTTTTGTGCCTTTTAACTGTGGGGTGAGAAACTGATGACCTGACTTTTATTTATTTATTTATTTATTTATTTATTTATTTATGTCCTAAAATGCCTGCCAGGTGGATTAAATGGTGTGCACAGAGAATTGTGAAATATATATAAGAACTAATAAATAAGGCTGCTTAGCAATACTGTGCTAACCTCATTAGGATTAGAAATTAAGATTAATTTCCCAAGTCTGCTAATAATGTAGTGGCTGTCTCAGGAAAATATACAGGGGAGTTAAAGTTCTGAATCAGATTGTTCACTAGTTTGGCCACTGTTCAAACAAGCTATTATGTTTTAAGGTGTAGAGAAAGGAAAAAAGAGCTGCTGAAGTACATTTTTTTTCCATATCATTCCTTTAAGTCCTACTACATATAGTAGCAATTTTATGGTACCAATAATCTGCACAGTCTTATTTCATCTAGCTTATGGGCCAAATTCACACTTGGCATGAATTAGCCTACTTATACTAGTTGAGAATCTGGCCAACAGTGTTTGAAAAAAAAGATCCTCTAAGTATACAATAGCATTTACTACAATAGTATAGTGCAGTTGGAACCTGTTAGTAGCAGCACTTTGGTGCCCATCATTCTGTGTTGTTCCTGAGTGGCTCTTGCTGTTATAGGGAGTATCATCAGAATGTTCCCAGGGGAAAATTTTGCTGATGAAAGGTTGCTGCTTCGGGCAGGTGGTAGAGCAAGTGAGCATTCACTGTACTATAAATTCCTGCACATAAGAGAAGCAATACTTCCCAATAAATTCAGCTAAGCACAGGTCGAACAGAAGTTTGAGGTTTGAATAGATATGTATAATAAATAACATTAAACACAATATCAGAGGCCCTAATTTTTTTTATTTGTCACATCTTATGTCTTGGGTATACATAGATGAATGTAGGACATCGCTTTGTCTTTCAGTTACTCTAGTGATCAGTTAACTCGAAAGGTCTATCCAAACCACAGTTCCTAGTATTATCCTGTGCTGCAGATGAGTACCACACAGAAAAAATTCTGAAGTCTTTAGGAACAGATGTTGTTATTTAAGATTCAGTGCATAACCATATCAGCATTTTGCTCTGTTGTTCTCCTGAGCTCTTTGAATCCCTAGTAGTCTTAGTGATTTTCTGTTTTGATTTACTCTTCTCTTTCAAGAGGGATAAGACAGTGCTGACTGTTTACCACAGATTATCTGATATACTGAAAAGTCCTGTTTGCAGTTATTTGTGTGCCTTTGTACTTGCATGCTTCATGACATCATTTTTAGAGATTTAAAGGCCATGTTCTCCACAAAGAATGGCTGTGGCACAGGAAAATAAACTAAGGCCCCAGCTACCCGTTACATATATTACAGAATTGCCTGGTTAATCGCACAATAAATTTAGACTGGCCACAAGTGCAAAGTAATTATCACACCATAAGAATCATTGTCCAGCTATAAAAAGAGCCAACTAGCTACAAAGTTAGTGCTTGAAAATGTGTAACAATGTGATGCCTGATTTCCATCTAGCTTTAATATGAACATGTAGCAGGACCCTTTAATGATCTTGAGCAGTGGCCAAGATGTGCTCCATACAGTTAAAGAGGCTTGGATGCATAAGTGCTGTTTGCATGTTCACTACCCTACCCCCATCCTCTCCAGGTTCCAGCACTAGGCACATATCTTAGCATAGACTCACAGCAGCATGAAGGACTCCTGATCGAGTCTTGTATCAATATCACCTTTTTGTAAGTCATCTTTACTTCGTGGGGACTCCTTTCCTAATCATTTCCTCCTCCTTTGATTCTACATTGACTCTTCAGGCCAAACTAAAGCACCCATCCCTAAACAAATCCTAGTTTATACCCACCCAGAAACTATTGCTTCACATTTTCCAGCAGTCTAATTTCTGTTGTTATTTAAGGGGGGTGGGAAATCTCCCAAAGGTTCAAGATGATTGTAAGCCATTTCATTTTGTAGAAACTTCTGAAACAGGTGCTGAGAATCAGTCAATACCTGTGTGTCATAAAAGTAACATTTCTGAAAAAACTGCCTCTTCCTACAGATTGGCATATGAGAAATGTCTGTCTTTATCTACATCTCCTGGTAGGTAGATCTAATTAAAAGAGCTAGTTTCCCCTCTCACTTCCCTTCTTACTGGTGGGGCTCCATCTGTCCTCATTTTGGCTGCCTTTTCAACATTGGTAAATAAATCCAGTTCTCTGTAAAATCTCCTTTAAAAGTCTGTTTAAACAACTAACTGTATGACACAGTTCTTCCAGTTCACTAGACGTACTCATTTTGTTACATATGGTACACACACATAGCACTTGGATTCATTTCAAGTAGTCGCACATGTTGGACCTAATCCAATAAACTGGATATTTTGCCCACCCTGAGAGAAGACCAAGAGCAATCCACTCCTCATGGTTCTCCAGACCCACATGCTTCTTCTCTACTGGCTTTTTAGAATATTGATTTTAACTATTCGCAAACATTAATCTAGGAGTACAAAGTTATAATCAAGACGTTTTAAAAGGAATGTACGGTTTGCCAAACAAGATGAGACCCATGGTCTAGCAACGGCTTCTGCCTAAAATTTGGAAGTGAAGAATAAAGCTACCTAGTCAGTTATACAGTTCACATCAAAAATAAATAGTGTATTTAGCTTCTTTGTATGTAACGTTTGTATTAAACTGTGTTGCAACAAGAATTAAATTTTGGCCAAATGACTTTTGAAATACTAAGAATTAAGTGAATTTATATAGAATAAATATTTTCTTTTTGAACTTTTTGTTTCTTTTAAGATTGGAGACAAAAATTGTTCCAGTCATTCCAGCAGCAATACCCTGTCCAGTAATACATCCAGCAATAGCGATGAGAAGCACTTTGGCTCCGGAGACCTTATGGACCCTGAATTGCTTGGATTAACATATATTAAGGGGGCTTCTACTGACAGTGGAATTGATACAGCTCCTTGTATGTCAGCTCCTCTTATGACTCCTTTACACCTTGCTGGCAGCAGGTCTGGGGTCCATAGTCGGGCTGAGCAGTGGACTGAATCATCTGAAACTCCTGGGCCAGATGATGAGGCTGCTAAAATCTATGCTGTTCATAGCTATGCCTCTGCCATTTCCAGTAGTCATACAGCTGAAGGCAGTATTGGAGACCTCAGTGAAATATCCTCTCATTCCAGGTATGTGATTCTGCACAAGTTATGTGATTAAATTATCGATTGAGAGAAGTAGCTTTTGTTTGTTGCATTTTTCTTTCCTTGAAAAGGTACTTGTTAAGTTTAATTTTATATTTTCAAAACACAGGAGGAAGCTAAGAGAAATCTTCTTCGCCCTCTGTGCATCTCTTGCAGAAAATCATTAATATAGGGTCCATGTGGCAATGATTGTGGGGAGCTATTTAAAAATCTAATCCAAATATATTATTTGTACCAAATCAAAAGATATTGAAGCACATTAAGCATCTTTTGAAGAACACACAGTATTCATGCTGTTATGTCATCCCTATTGAAACTAATGGGCAACTGTAGAAAGCATGGTAATCTACCCAATGCTTATTTCCAGTGTGAAATGAAGGTGCTTCTTATAGCACCCAGCTAGAACATACAGATGTTTAGGATGGCTAGTTAGTTCGATAATAGCCATGTTGGTTTTGAAATAGTGTTTCAGGTTTTTAGGTAATAAAGTGTTGAGCCATTGGTTCAGTTAAGGCTAGTGTAGGCAGCAGTGTCAGATCTGCATCAGAGGATTTTTTTTTTTAGAAAGAAGACACCCTCCAGCATAGCCAAAATAAAATAATACTGTCATACTGGTATAATGAAAGTGTATAGTTCAAGTGTGTTCATTACATCCTAGACGGAGATAAAACAAGCATCTTTGGTAATTGGAGGTCTTCCTTTTTATTGTAGTTCTAGGTGAGGGCACATTGTAGAATCTCCTTCCTCCTATTTGACAGGAAAAAGTCATTCAATTTTTTCCAGTCTTACGTCTACAAGGAAAATATTTATAGGCATGCTGGTATAATTAAATTACTATAATTAAACTACTTCCTGTGTAGACACACTTATGCTAGCAAAAAGATACTATTTCTTTTATTTCAATTGAACTGCTTCCAAATTAACCTAAAATGAACTTGGTGTACAAGGAGTTATGCTAGCGTAACTACAGCAGTTAAAATTCACCTCTTAAGGTTTCATCATTATAATATTTTTAGGGCGGCAAGCCCCAACTCCTTTCAAAGTCTCACAACCCAATTCAGATACATCTTTAAAACTGCAAAATCCTTGAATACTCAGGCTCTCAAGGAGACCACACTTATCAATGAATCATGGTTGTGGTTACTAAAATGGTTCTTTTGAGTGGTTTTGAGATTCATTTGAATTGAATCAGCCCAGGATAGATTTTTTGGACCAGTAGGTTGAATGCCAGCTACTGAATCATCACCATTTCTTACCAGGTGTTTGAAGGCTTCCCATAATTTTGCTGAGATGATCAGTCCATACATTGTTTGTGAGGCCTGACAAGGTCATGGCACAAAGAGGCAAGACTGCTTGTCCACAAGTGTTAATTATAACTCCCTGTATAGGGAGTTAATAAAGTTTGTAGATAAAGTACCCATAGAATTAAGTAGATAAAGTATTTATTATTTATATATTATGTGATACAGTTTTAAATATTGGAATTCATACAGTCTTCTTTCACTGCTGAAGACACCTGAATTAATAATCATCAACACAATGTATTTACATTAATACTGTTGCATTTTTCATGTCAGTGCTTCCATTATTTCAAGTAGTAGAAATAATGGTAATCATTTCCCCCCACCAAAAAAAAAGTTCTTGTGCCATTCCGCAGTCTGATTTAACTTTTTTCCCTTTAGCACTTGGTATGCTTACCTCTTTTGTACAATACAACTGACAACACAAGGAGTTAATGCTATAGCAATGAGATTGAATTACATTGGAAACTTCTCTGCCTGTTACTTACACATATAGTGAAGCTGCATTGCCTACTGTGTTCCTTAAATGAAACTGATGTGTTAGATGCCTGGCAAGTGTGTGCATTTGAGGTTTTGAATTTCTGATAGGTCTTGTTCTCTTCCTCTTTACTATAAATGGAATGCGTGTACACTACATCTGCTGTACAGCAAGTTGTGAGAGTGGACTCATACAGCTGGTTACCTTTGTCTCGTAATTCCCATTTTATGGGGACTTTGAAGTTGCTGCTTTTGAGTGTGTGTTGAAAGCTTTTACTTGGTAATGTGTTAAATTATGAAGAGAGAATTGTTTGCACTTTTTCCTGTGATTTTTTTTTTTTAAATCATTTTCAGTGCAAACCAGTAGAGGGAAAAAAGGCAATAAGAACATTCCACATCCTCCCCCCCCTTTCTTTGTGCTGTGTATTGAATGAATTAGCCTCTTGAGGTTTTATAAACATTCTCTTAGGTTGTAAAAGATTAGTTTCTGTATCTCTACCTGCTATATGAAGTAAGTTGCACACAATTTTACTCCAGAGAAAGATGCTTGCTCTATATACACTGGAACAGTACTTTCCCAAAAAAAGATGAGAAGAAACCCCACTTAGATCTCAGTTCACAACAGAGGTGTTGCTTCTATGAAATACTAGTCTTTTTTTAAACCCTCACATGCAAGTAACAAGAGGCAAGTGGTATTCTGATCAGCAAGACAGTTGTGGTGGTAGATCCCCTCAATATAATGCTCCATAACTGTTCAGACTTTGCCTATGGTATGTGTTCAGTGTCTCACATAGTGGGCTCTGAACTGGTTTGAGATGTTTGAGTATTACTGGTTTAAGCATTACTGTATGTTACAAATTAAATAATAAGTGTATTGTAAGTATCCAAACAAGGTAAAATTTAAGATGCAAATCTGCAGGTGAATAGAAAGCTATTTTCTGTATAACCATTTGTCCCATATTTAAAGCTGTGTTGTGTATGCTCAGTAAATGAAATTCAACACAGGAGGATGGTTAAGTGCCCAGTTGGACATATTCGGCCTGATTTTGCTACCCTTTGCACACATTGAATAATCCACTTGAGAAAAGTCAGTGCTACTCTGTGGTAGTAAGCACTGCAGAATCCACCCTGTAGTATGTAACAGCAGCACAAGCCTACCAAACCCATATGACACCTGCATTGCTTTGTCTTTTACAGCTGTGGTGTTGTCGGTCTTGCTCTCCTTTTTATACTCATTGAACCCTTTGATTACCAAATACAGTCATAGAATAATAGAAAATGAGGGCTGGAAGGGACCTCAGGAGCTCATCTTGTCCAACCCCCTGCTCAAAGCAGGACCATGTCCAACTAGATCATCCCAAAGGGGTGGGTAGGCAACAGGGATCGAACCCATGGCCTCAGCATTATTAGCAATCATGTTTACTGTGGCTGAAACAGTTTCCTCTGACCCTCAGTAGCTTTGTTGCCTTACCTTCTTGGGGAGTCAGTACTCTTAAGGTACTGACTGACACACCAGGGAGGAGGGCAAGGTCCATTGACCAGAGATAGAAAGGTCTTTATATACTTTAAGTCTAGTGCTATAACACGTATATGGCAAAGTGTTCCCTTGTTTAAACTTTTAGGCTGAGTCTGACACAAACATTGTGCGTTTTGATGCCTGGTTCCTATCAGTTTTAGTGGGAAATCAGCTCTGAAATTTCTTAAATATTTTAAATCTCAACCGTAAGTGTATTCCACATTGTCCCACATTTGCTTGCTTCACCTTTAGGCCTAGAGGTTAGATGACAGAGGAGCCTAAATTGCATTTGTTTTCTCCCATCTAACCTACAGAATCTCTTCCATGTGAACTCATTGCTGGTGGGATTCTGCATATTTTGAGGAGAGTAGCCAAGGGAGCAGCTATTTGCATAGCAAACCTGTCAGACTTCATGCTGTCACTTTTCAGTATCTTTTCAAACAGGCTGTTTGTATTCTTCTTATCCATTATGAAATTTTAAAAAAATTGTTTAACATCCCCAAGAGCTCCATAATCCTGTTATTTTTTTTACTATTGCAGGGGAAGCCAAACTATTTTATTCTTCCCCTCTTGCTTCCAGTTGCCTAGAAGTAATAGCCCTGCTTCCTTGTCTGCATTGCCTAGCCACAGTGCATCAGCCCCTGTTTTGTGGCAGTGACCAGCTGTAGTTGGTGTTAAGCAGATGCTACTATTCCAGAAATGGATCTAGATCTAACAAGACTGGAGCTGCAGGTGCTGGATACTATTTCTAAAGCTAATGACCCAAATACCATCACTGTGCTTCATTAGGCTGAAGCAAGAAAGTAAGGGGCAACTACGCAAAAAAAGGAGTGGGAGGAGTATAACTTTATTGTTCCATTTGCCTTTTGAGGTCAGAAAAGTAATCTCCAATAGAACATAATGTCTCCAGTGTTCAACTTAACACTTTATATCTCAGTGTTGATTAATTTTAAACCGGGGCGGGCAATTTATTTTGGGCAAAGGGCCGCTTTTTTAGGCGCCTCACAGGCCGGATTTTGCCCACCCCTGTTTTAAACTGAACTATATGACCGATAAAATTGATATAATTTACAAACAAATAAATCACTCTTAGATTTTTTTTTACAGTGGGCATTTTTATTTTTAAGGAAATATGTATTGAACAAATTACATCCATACCATTGTACAGCCTCCTTTCATTCAATCTGGAAAAATAACCCTAGACTGCCATTTTTGCTTTTATATTTGGTATTACTTTCTGGTTCTAGTGAATGAACAGAGTATTATATTTAGATTTACAAGAAGCATTGTATATGATGGAGTACAACACTTGAGAACAGGAATTCTGGGTTCCCAGTTTTGCAACCTATAAAGTAGATATCCTTAGGTAGGCCATTTAGTTTGCCACTACCTCAGTGCTTCATTTCCAAGGTAAAGATGAAGTCCTCCTCAAAAGAGATGCTTGCTTTAAATGAGTGTAAAGCACATAAGAGCTTTCAGAGAAAAGCATCATTAATGTCTGGCAAACCTATTGTTAATAATTTAAAAGAATATTCAAATCTAGAAAACTGTTTTCACTGAGTCAAAAGTTACTTCTATCTGTATTATATTTTTGAGCACTGTCAGGACAGCAGCGTATCTTTAGCTGATGTGCCCTGACAGGAGTAGTAAGAAGAGAACCATAGAAGGTTTCAGTAGTAAGGCAGTCATATTGGGCCATATTAATTCCTGATGTAATTCTCAGCACTAATGGAATTACATTCAGAATAAAATTATTATGTTCAGATTAGTGAGGAGCATTGTCCTTAATTCATCCTGGTTTGCTGTGGCATTTTGACAAGTTGACATTTACAAAAATTGCTCAACTTGTGAAGTCTTTCTGATGGGTTTGTGTATGCACATGTGTTCAGGCAGCAGAGACATGATTTCGCTATATATGAACATTTATTTGTATTTGGGAAAATTGTGTTGATAGTGCCGACTTCATTTTTGACTTGACAGAAAAATTAAAAGTAAATGACTCATCACTTAGCTGGACCTAGTCATGTTTCTGTGGTTTTTTTTTTTACATTTTTAGTGGGTCCCACCATTCAGGAAGCCCTTCAGCACATTGCTCTAAAAAGAGTGGTTCTCTAGATACCTCCAAAGTCTACATTGTGTCGCAGAATAGTAGCCATCAGATTTCTGGGTCCATGTCCAAACCATACCACAGACAAGGAGCAGTGAGCAAATATGTCATTGGTTGGAAAAAGTCAGAAGGTAGCCCTACACCTGAAGAATCTGAAGTTGCTGAATGCCATGAGTAAGACTCTTTTTTCTTCTTATTTTGGGCAAAAGAATAAAGGACAGAAATCCAGAGTGGGTGGATAAAATTTGAGCTGGGTCTTTTGAGCCAAGTTTTCTCTCCTGCCCAGGGCAGGGGGTCGGACTAGAAGATCTGCAAGGTCCCTTCTGACCCTACATCTATGAATCTATGAAAATCCTAATTACTTGGAAAATGATAGTGAAAGCTGTTTCCTGTTTTCATTTTTGTTTGAAATGTTTGACCTTCCCCACACTCCTCCCCTTTCCCTCATGTACCAAATCTTTCTGCACAGGTTTAAAAAAAAAAAAAGTTTGGTTATTGAAGGTCATTTAGCCTCAACTTTGCCTTTCTTTCCTCCTTTTTTTGCTCCCATCCACTTTTCCTCAGTGCCACAAAATAGAGGGAAAGATGTAACATTGTGAGTTTTGCTGGAAGTTATACTTCTGTCAAACAAAGTGAAAACAAAAAACCTCATGTGTCCTTCCTAGAAGAGAATTAGTTAGGCATTGATTTATATAGGTCTAGAGAATCTGTAAGCACTTTCCAGGTAAGCATGTTGAAAGATTCATAACTTGCACTTCGACATCTTTGTTGCCCTAAAGAACGCATCGCATCTATTAATATGCTGGAAAGGAGATATGTGGCCAAGAATTTAAGGATGTTTAAGGCTACATAATAGAGAAAGAAACACTTCCGGTTGGATAGATTTAGCTGCTTTTTAGAATTCTTTCCTAGGCTCCTGCTTTTCTTTGGGTAGGTGGGGCTTCCTGGTTAGCAATCTGGTCTGCAGTGTGGGACATCCAGGTTCAAGGCCTTGGTCTGTCCATTTTGGAGCAGATAATCCCAGGCAGTCAGGACTTGAACTTGGGTTTCCCACCTTCAAACAAACGAACAAACCCAGCATGTTTCAGCGCAACGAATATTTGACAAAAAATTCTGTGCCTTTATAATGGACAGCTGTGTTTTCCTGCCTGGCACAGGGATTGCTCTTCCTCTTAAAGGCAAAAACCTGGGTTCTAGATGTGGTGTAGTTCCTCAACTGTTGTGGCAGGTTCATTCATCCCATAAGCCCCTGCATTATCAACTCCTGAGATTTATTTTTCCCACTGCTTAGGAATGAAAATATAATAAAACAAAATTGCCTAATTAAGCACTGCCTTTGGACCAAAAAGACAGCAGCTTTGAAGACAGTCTATTATGACGAGTTCCATCTAAAGAGAGTGAACCAAAGATGGTAACACTGCATATATCAAACCAGTCTCATGCAATCAGGCATTCCTCACTGCTTTCTTTTTAGGAAAGCTTTTTCTGCTTTGCAGGGTGGGGGGTGATAGTTAGCCAAAGCTAATTATTTTGAAATGAAATCATATCTCCAGTTAATAATGGAGATGAAGATCAGGTCATTTGCTGAAGGTTGTGCTGCTATAGGACATAATTCATTGAGAATTATAAATTGCAATAGCAAAGCCTGTTTCCTCTCAGCTGAGGGTACAATCACTGATTTATGCTACACTTGGCAGCAAGTAATTGGCTTCAAATGCATGCACTGTGTTTTTGGGAATCTCTACTTCCTCAGATTGCATTTTCAGAGTAAACCTTTTAAAATCATCTTCCTCCTTTCTTGCTGGAAGGATACTGAAAGACAGTAATTCAGTTTGACAGTCTTTTGTTGAATGTAAATACATTTTTGTATGGTGATAATTAAAGAAGACAGCTGTTTTATTTATCCAAACAGCTTTGTGAAATTGCTTATAATAAAACACACTTGGCACATGGCAGAATTGATTACAAATAAACTTCAGGCATTACCAATGATGACCGTGATAATTTTGTCAGATTGTGATGCTGGGTACAGCTTCACACCATAGGATATTGATTTTCTTATTTGCTTGGGAAGTACAAGTTAAAATATTTTGATCTGTGATGAATTATTGAAAGTGTTGATCCAAGTATAAACAAAACAATAGGAAAGAGTAGTGTGCAGAAAAAGAGAGCAAGAGAGAAATGCAGGCTTTTTGAGAAACATGCTATATCTTTGTTGGGAATTCAGGTATTTTTGAATAATTTAAGAATCTCATCTTGAAATTATAACTGCTTCATAAATTTAAAATGATTTGGGGAGATGGTAACAGTGCACTCGGCAAAGAAATAGTCATATAACAGTGTTCAGTTTCTATTGATGGGTCTTGCAAATCCTGGCCCGATATTGCATTATCATTCTAATGTACCCATTGTTTCAGCAGAGTGTATGCAGATGTTGATGCTGTGGTTGCCTCAAGTCAGCTTCAGACTTCTGTGAGAAGTACAGTTCCTGAAAGTCAGCAAGTCTTGTCCAAAGAAGATTTTCTGAAGTTGATGCTGCCAGACATCGTCTCTGTGGAAGAGGGTAGAAGAAAGGTTAGCTACTCTTTCTGGTTCTGCACCTATCAGAGGCAATTACCTAAAAGTCATGTACTTGTATTTCTGAAATGGATTTAGATTAGAAAAAATCATTCTGTGTAAACCAAACATATTGGATTAGGAATTATGAATGTTTATAGTAATTTCCATAATTCATATCCTCTAGAACTGAAATGATATCTAAGTTTGGTGAATTTGTATTAAATTCAGTGTTTATTTAAACAAGCATGTGCACACATTTTAAAGTTGAGCTAGCTAATTGCAAGTTCAGAGAACGATGGGAACATGTTCAAAACCAGGTGCCTCAAGTAGGCCCCCAACCCCAAATAAAAGTGGCATCCAAATAAAAGTAGTCTGTTCCCACCCACTCCCCTTTCTTCCTCCCCCCAGCCCTCCCAGTGATGCTCAGCACAGTAATTTCTATTTGAAGCCTAGATCACAGTTCCATACAGAGATCATTTGTAAGTGGTTAGTAGGAAAGACCTCTGTTTATGCTTCTAATGGAGAAAATACTGAACTGATTTTTGTCATGCAGAGACAGAGTTTCGTACATTAAAAAGTCCATTAAAGTACTGGTACCAAACTTGTATTGTCAGCAATCCCTAAAGTCAAGGGTGATTACTCTTGCGAGTCAAGTAAAGGGTTGTAAATGAGTCCATTGATGGCTAAGAAGGCTGATCATAGAGCATAGCAGTTGTTTTGGTAAATGTGCATCAGGCATGTGCACACAGTGTCCTTTCCACCACAGCTGATATTGAATAATCAGTGAATGCTTACATACTAGTGGTAGGTAGTGTCAATAAGGACACTGGCATTTATGTGATAGTTCTCCCATTTTATGGCCTGGCATCTTGCGGAGGTAGCACTGGTGAAGGCATTCTGGGCATTCCAGGTTTTTCAGGTCATCTCTGTAGGTCACCCAAACTTCACAACTGTAAACAATAGTTGGGAATACCACATCCTTAAATAATAGGAGCCTTATTCATGTTCTGATGTGATCATTGAACACACAATGATTCAGTCTTCTGAACGTAGAGCTGGCACATTGGATCCTGTACTGTATCACCTCATCTCTGTTGGTCACCTTTGCAAGATGGCTGTCAAGGTATGAAAAGTGTTCAGCATTGTCTAGCTCCAGTCCATCAGTGAGGATCTTTGCCCGGGGAATTGATTGGCCTGGAGCAGGCTGGTGAGGCACCTTGTTTTTTTTCCAATGTTAAGGTCAGTCCCAGGCAATGGTATGCTTTAGAGAAGCAGTTAAGAGCCATTTGTAGATCCTCCTCCTTATGTGCAATGACAGCATGGTCATTGGCATACTGAAGTTCCACAATCAAAGCTGAAGTAACTTTGGTTTTGGCACAGAGGCAGGAGAGATTGAAAAGGTTCCTGTCTATCCTGTACTCATTGCCCATGTCATGTGGTAGACAGTCACAGATGAGTGTCTTAATGACTGCAATAAAGATGAAAAACAAAATTGGTGCAATCACACAACCCTGCTTGATGTCAGTTCGAATAGCAAAGGCCTTCGTAAGCAGAGCTACTGCATAGGATGGAGGCAGTCATCTGGTCATGAAGGAGTCTTAGGATAGTGATAGATTTCCCTGGGCAGCCAGACTTTCACAGGATCTTCCATAGAGCCTCATGGTTAACAGTCGAAGGCTTTGGTCAAATCAGTAAAGGCTATATACTATTCCTGGTATAGTATTGTTCTTGGTATTTTTCCTGGATCTGCTGGGCTGCAAAAATCATGTCTATGGTGTTTCTTGATGGTCTGAAGCTGCATTGAAACTTAAGAGAGAATTTCTCAGCAAGAGGGAGCAGTCAGTTCAGCAGAATTCAAATGAGGATCTTCCCAGCAATGGAGAGGAGGGTGAAACTTTGATAGCTTCTGCAGACAGACATATATCCCCCTTTTTTTTTTTTTTTTAAATGGTAACAATATTGGCATTCCTTGGGTCAGTGGGAATTTCCTTAGTGTTCCAGATTTTGATAAACAGTGTATGGAACTCGTTGATCATAGTTTCCCCACAAAGTCTGAAGACTTCAGCTGGAATGCCATCAGAGCCAGATGCTTTGTTGTTTTTCATCTTATTGCCTGTTGGACTTCTTCAGAGGTTGGTGAACTGGCAAGTACTTCCCTTACTGGGTGCTGCAGGATGGATTCAGTGGTTTTTGTAGTCACCATTAACTCAGTTCAGGAGCTTTTGGTAATGCTCCTTCCAGTGGTTTTTGATGAACTTATCTTTGAGTGTACTGCCGTCTTCAGTTCTAAGTGGAGTGAGTCTGCAAGAGTTTTGCCTAGCCTTGCAACAGCCTTGATCATACTGAAGAAGCTCTGTATGTCATGGTTATCAACAAATTGTTGGATTTCTTTTGTCATCTCTTCCCACCATTTGTTTTTCATTTTTCTCAAATCTTCCTCTGGCCTTCAGCTTTAAGTCGTCTAAAAGTTCCCCGTTTCTGACTGGACGTTAGGATGGTTTTGCCAGTCACTGAAAGCTTTTCTCTTCTGATTGAGAAGGACGTTGATCTCAGCATTGTTTTCATCAAATCAGTCCTGATGGCATTGGGTGATAAAGGCAGTTGATTTTGTGGAAGCCTCGTGGATGGTCTCCTTTAGCGCTTGCTAATCTTCCTAAACACAAGTGTTATGATTTTCAGTCCTAAATCTGGTGAGTTTCTTGCTGAGATGTGTTTGGAGCATGATGCGGTGTCTAGGGGTCTGAAGGCATGTGATGTTGTACTGTCTTTTTGTTGCTTTGTCTCACTAAGTGAAGATTGGTCCGGCAGTAATTGGCTCCTCTCATAACACATACGATATGAAAGTCTTTTAAATTGTGCCGTCTTATGGTGATGTAGTTGAGGAGATGCCAGTGTTTTGAGCAGGGGTTTTGCCATTTTGTTTTGTACCTGTCACTTTGTCGTTATTCACACTTTCTTTAGACAAAGTCATGCTCTGCACATTTGCTGAGTAAGAGGACGTTGTTGGAATTGACCTTGCCCACTCCTTTCTTCCCAATGGCGTTCCTCCGCATGTTAAACCCCCGGCCAACTCTTGCATTGAAATCGCCAAGGAGGATGATATTCTCTTTTGGGATGATAGTCAGAATTTCATCAATGTCAGCATAAAACAGCTCTTTCTGTTCTCCCTTGGCATTGAATGTTGGGGCATATGCACTCATGATAGTAGCAAAGGAACTGCTTGTCAGTTGGAGGCAGAGTCATGAAGCACTCGTTAATGCCAACAGGGAATTTGGTCATTCGGCTGACAATCTGGGTCCTACTGGCAAAAACAAGTGCTGTGTATTTGCCTGTTGTTTGCAGGTTTCATAGTTTCATAGTTTCATAGATTAAGGGTCGGAA